AGTGGAGTATAAGTTTAAAGTTTTATCATTGCCTGACTCTGACATTCCTTACTTCAGAAATATTTTAAAGCAAAAAACCATAAGATATTGATTATAAATCTTACTTTTTTCTCTAGTCTTTATCTCTGTTTCTTATTCTGTTTACTGAAAGATGACCTGACATTTTTAAATGATGCTACTCAATGACAGCATTTAGAACCCTTTCTAACAACTAGTGCTACTGAAACTGGAAACAAACAAAAAAAAAGAAAGCCAAACCTTCCCACATAGAAACTCATTTACTTATCATTCTCTGCCTTCTAGAGAATATCTAATAAAAATTCTCAATGCCAAAGGTTTTGCAGATATTTTTAATGCAGTCATAGCTCTCTTAGGTCAAGTCAAATGTCAGTTGATACTTACGATACTAATTTTCACGTGTTAACCTTAAAATCTTACATATGGGGCTGGAGTAGTGGCTCAGCGGTAGAGCATTTGCCTAGCACATTCAAGGCCCTGGGTTCGATCCTCAGCACCACATAAAACAATAAATAAATAAAATAGAGATATTGTATCAAATACAACTGAAAAATAAATATAAAAAATCTTACATATGAAAAAAATGGCCTTTCAAAATTAAAAAAATAATAATACTGTGGGTAATAGGTTACAATGAAATCTATTCAGTATGTACCCAGATTGAAAAATAGCATTTCAGTCCCCATTTCATTCCATGCCCTTTTCCAAAGATAACCACTATTCTCACTTCTAACTATATAGATTTATTTTTCATTAAAGAGAATTATCCTTTATGTACTCTTCTGAAACAGGTTTCTTTTTGCTTTATGTTTGCAAGATTTATCTATTGCACTATTGATAAGCAGCATTTTCATTTGGAGTTATGTGTAATACTAAAGTGAAGATCTTGTACATGTCTTTTAGTAATGTGTGAATTCCTGATATGCAAATTAACCCCTAAAACAGTTAATAATCTCAAAAATTTGTAGAGAAGAATCAATAATCTATTAATTCTCTGATTCCTTATTCTTCTTGAGTTAATGATAGCAGCTATGTGATGTGTTCTAGCAGAAAAATAACTGGTAGAGCACACCTTGAACTGGGGGAGGATTGATTTTTATGCTTTGTTAGAGTGCATCTGTTTCAGTTTTATGTCTTACAACTAGAACATAGTGTTTAAAATTTTTAATAGGCATGATCTCTCTGAGGTTCTAGTGCAAAACACAAGGTTTACCAATTTCTTACTCCAGACTCATTTTGTCCTGTAGTAGGCAGCTGCTGAAATCTCTGCTCAGTTCTTTCAACCTTCCCAGTTATTGTTAGAGCCATACCCATTCATGTACACTTCAGAATCTCCCTTTTATACAACCATCCCTGACCAACAAAATTTCAAACTGCTCTAGCTGTCCTAAACTCCATCTCCATATTCCTTGTGCTGGTAAGACTAGACTTTTCCTTGAGTTCCTTATGTTCCTAACTATCTGGACAGGAGGGAGAAAGGATATAAACTTGAATCTAATTCAGTATGGGTCTGTTTTCCCCCACCAACACCCCCCCACCCCCACCCCCACCCCCCGTCATTCCTTTGAAAGGTTGAATTCTCTCCAGAGTTCCTTGGTCACTCTCAGGTCCCTTCAAACACAGGTTTTTCTGATTTGTTCAGAGTAGTTGTTTGGCACAAACACTGAGTTGTGAACTGTTCTGTCATTGCCTCAATTGGAACCTTAGTAATTGAGAATTAAGCAAATTGAATATAAAAATAAAAGCAAACTTATATTTAGTGAAGATTGAAAGAGAAATTATGTATAGCTGGAGGAAGGTGGGGTATGAAATACTTAATAGAAAAGGTTGGTATTTATGGTGAACCCTGAGGGATGGTTGGGATGGACTTCCATTAGTGAAGATGGCAGAGTATTCTAAATTAAAGGAACAAATTGAACTACTGGGAAAGTACAGACTGTGTTTATAAGAAAAATTAAGAGTCTGATTTGACTGGTGGGTTACTTTTAAGGGGAGTAATTAAAAAGCAGCCAGGTGCCCAGCTATATCCCAGCTACTTAAGAAACAGAGGTAGGAGAATTGCCAAGTTTGAACCTAGCTAGCCTCCACAGCTAGTAAAACCCTGTGTCAAAAAAGGGGCAGGGGGAGAGATAGGAATGCAGCTCAGTGGTAAAGACCCCAGAGTTCCTGATACAAAAAAAAAAAAAAAGACTGGAAAGTAGGAACTTTTTGAAGTTTTTGAGTTTAATCTGGTAACGTAGCAAGGAGTAAATGGGAGTTAAGAGACAAAAAGATCAATTAGGAAGATATTGGTGGCAACATATCCATCAAGAATTTCAAAACATAGGAGATGAAGGAGATTAATAAAGATAGAAACCAAATAGCTGAAAGATGGAGACTTACTGGTACAAATGTTTATTATTAACATATATTTTTTTCATAAATAAAGTTAGGATAATTTAAATAAAGGCTATACTGCCTTTGTAGAAAATAGAGCTCTGTTCTCGTTTTTTCTACAATTTTTTTGCTATTGTTTCATATTTTCAACTAAGACATTGTGCCTGTCAACACTTATCAAAGTATTGGACCATATTTATGTTGGCACTTCTGTTCTCAGTATAACTAATTTAATTAGAACTGAGAAAACTTAGCCGCTTTCAAAAAGAATATCAATATAAAACCATCAGTTATTGATACTAATATAGCCAGCCATTTGAAATTCTTTTGCATACAAGAGGGGTTTATGATAGGAATGTATATGATTATAGGGAGATCATAGGAGTCCCAGAATAGCAACTATAGTATATGACCAGAATTTCAGCAACAATTTGTGGGACTGTGACTCAAGGAGACGTACTTTCCATGTTCTCTTTTGTTTATATATCATTGCTCTCCATTATCCAAATTACTTCTGAAGTCCTTTCTAAATTTTCTTCCATATTTCTAAATGAAGTTCCTCAGAATGCTATGTTTACTTCTGAGAGTTTACTTGTAGCAAACACTGTCCCACCTTTTCATATATAAAAAGTAGCATCTTTGAAATAACATTGCACTTTAAAAAATATATATGGAATTGTAAATATTAACACTATTCTAAACTGAAGAACTCAACTGGATGTCATATCTTGTAGCATTTTTTTTAAACTAGGCCTGTGCCCTAAAATAATACTATTAATGGTAGAAAGTTGTTAAGAATGGGTAGTATTGTCTATTTTTTGTGGTAATGATTGTATATAGAACTCTATATATATACTCTATATATATGGGTCCCAATAAACCCATTGCAAATTAAAGATATCATAATTTTTTAAAAATGCATTTAATACAATTAAACTACCCAGTGTCGTAGCTTAGCAACATAGCACAATGCAGAGTATCATTTGTCATCAGTATCATTGTGGACCATGTGCTTAACTGGGAATTGCAGTTCACTTCCGTGTCCCAGCATTGCAAGAGTATCATACCACATTTTGTTAGCTCAAGTAAAGATCAAAATTTAGAATTTAACCGATGTGATTCTGCAACTTGTATTTGGGGTAAAAAATGGGAGTTCATAAGCCACTTGAATCAAATGTATGGAAGATGATATGTCATGAGCTTTGTAATGTTTTGAACAACCAATAAAAAAATAAATAAAGTACAATGCCTACTGAATTTGTATTGCTTTGGCACCACTGTAAAATCAAAATTCCTAAGTCACACCGTTATAAACTGGGGGCCAGTTGTACTGGCAATTGTACTCTTTGGTAATGTTGATATTAAATTTATAAGATCAGTTTGAGAATTTTCCTGGACTTTTTAATTCATCTGTAATTATACACACAAACACACACACACTGCACTGAGGGTTGAACTTAGGAATTTTACCACTGGCCCTTTTCCAGGGACACCAACCCCCTACCACACTCCCAGCTGCCTTTTTAAAATTTTTATTTTGAGAAAGGTCTCACCAAATTGCCAAGTTTATACTTGAATTTGGAATCTTCCTGCCTTAGCCTCACAAGTATTGTTAGCCACCATGTCCAGCTCTTTGCTTTTTTTAAAGAATTGAATAAAATGGGGGCTGGTGTTGCAGCTCAGTGGGAGAGTGCTTGCCTAGCACATGTGAGGCACTGGGTTCGATGATCCTCAGCCCCACTTAAAAATAAATAAATTAATTAAATAAAGGCATTATGTCTATACAACTAAAAAATATATTTTAAAATGTTGAATAAAATGATTTTATTAAAGACTAGCTGAATGTCTTTGTAATTATAAATTGTATTATTTGACAATACATGTTATAAAATATCTCCCAATAGTTAACACAGAAAAAGGTAAATTACTAAAAAAATTTTGTGGGGGTGGCAAGAGGAATATACTGGAGATAGAATCCAGGGGCATTTAAAAACTGAGCAATATCCTCAACCTTTCCTCGCTTCCTTCCTCCCTTGGTCCGTTCCTTGCTTCCTTCCTCCCTCCCTCCCTTTCTTCCTCCCTTCTTCCCTCCCTTTCTTCCTCCCTCCCTCCCTCCCTCCCTCTTTCCTTTCTAACCTCTCTCTTTCCCTTCTTCCCTCCCTCCCTCTTTCCCTTCCTTCCTCCCTCCCTCTCTCCCTCCTTTTCTCTCCCTCCCTCTCTCCCTCTTTCCCTTCCTCCCTTTCTCCCTCCCTTCCTTCCTTCCTCCCTCCCTCTCTCCCTTCCTTCCTTCCTTTCTGTTCATTCATTCATTCATTCAAGGTAGGGACCCGCTAAATTGCCTACGGCCTCACAAGTTGCTGAGGGTGGCTTTGAACTTGTGATTCCCCTGCCTCATCCTTCAGAGCCACTGAGATTACAGGCATGGGCCACAGCACCCAGCCCACAAACAGTTTTAGATTGTTACAAATAGACTGTTACATCAAGAATGTATGTATTCAATGTTATAGCAACTGTGTATTTTCCAGATATTTATTTTAAATATTGATATATTTTTGTAGCCAAAGCTTAATATTAAATCCTGTTTAAAAAAAAATTCTTTCTTACAGGGCTGATCCTTTGTCCAATATGGTTCTAACCTTCAGTACTAAAGAAGATGCAGCTGCCTTTGCAGAAAAAAATGGTATGATTGGTCTGTTTTTGTTTTTTCTTTTCACAAATAAAGTTAAGATATGATTTTATGTTCTTAACTAAAACCATTCAGGAATATAAAATTTGAGTTGACAGAAATCTTTCAGTAAATATCTGGTTCAGTGTTGCTTAGCTTTTTTGCTGCAACAGGATGAACAACCCCCTTCCAAAAGAAAAGAAAGTCAAAGAAAAATTTAAAATGGAATGTCCAGTGTTACATGTAAAAGCCAAAATGCTCTAATCTGAAGTCAGATCAGGGCAGGGAATAAGACTACTTGTCTAACACACCTACCTTGTTTCTGAATTCCTCTGCAAAATTACTAACATTTGGTTATTTAAACTCTTATGTCATAAGGTTAGCATAGTGCAGTTTTGACACTTTATTATTAAGTTCTCTTTTACTTTGATCCAGAATCTAATGCATATTATTCTATATAGCAGCTCTTTTATTGAAAATAGTTATCATATTCACTAAATTTTCATTAAGCCTAAATATCTGCATTTGCTACTTTTCTAGATATGGTTGTATGAATGTAGTCTAAAAGTATATTAGTTTCGGGGACAACTATGTTATACCATTGGATTATGTTGATCTTACTATCAACAATAGTGCAAAATATTTTTCTTATTTTCTGCTGTTAAGTCAATAGTACAATGAAAGGAAATGTGCAGTTAGACCACTCTGGGTTCTAATCCTTATCATTCCACCTTGAACCAGTATGATTTTGGATTAATTTCATAGTGGACTTAATGCTTCTTCGTATTTGAAATAGAGAAGCTGGTATATAATAGATACTTAGTAAAGATTAGTTCTGACCCTCATCTCCCTCCATCTTTGGCATTTCTTTTGTTTATGTCCTGCAGATTTAAATATGCTGATATACATTTGTACCTAATGTATTTTGTTTGGCAATACATTATTACTATAAGCCATTATATAAATGTAAAAAAAATAGCATTTTCTAATCATTTTTTTTAATATTTCTTTAAGATGTTGATGGACCTGTATTTCATTCATTTATTTATATGCAGTGCTGAGAATTGAAACTAGTGATTAACACATATTAGGCAGGCGTTCTACCACTGAGCTACAACCCCAGCCCTTTTCTAATCTATTTGACATATAAGTATGAAAGCACTGTGAAAGCCTTGTGAAGATCATTATTATCTAAAATGTTTTTCTTCCCCACTTAATACTGCAGATTATAATTAAAAGTCTAAAGCCACAGACCAAGATGTGTAGCATAGTGGTAGAGTATGCTCAAGGGCCTGGGGGGTTTCCAGTCCTGTTCACAAAAAAATAGTATAAAACCAAACTACTTTGTGTTTGAATCCATGTTGAGTCATTATGATATACTGTATTTTTATTTCCTCATCTGTAAAATGGGAATTGCTGTGAGGATTAAATGAGTTAAAAAAACAAAATACTTAAAATTGGTTTTGACACATACTAAGTATATAATAGTATATAAGTATATCTTATTATGGTTGTTTTTAAAATAGACTTTAAAACTTACAAAGGACTTAAGTGCATTTCCATATTAATATTTGGCAAGTTCTAAATTTCTTAATTACATAATTGTTCTCAAAGTGGTCAGTCTTTATTATTTTGACTTAATATTGTCAAGATATTATTTGATTTAGACTAATATTTTAATTAAACTACCATTTATCAAAAACATTTTGTTAATGTTTTCTATCCTTTCAACCAATTATATTTCATGACTGACACCTTGAAAATTATTCTTTTGAGGTCTGTAACATGAGTTTAATAACAGGAAATCTAATTAAACTGTTAAATCCCTGATTAGTCTCTAAGTGGTCACAAGGACTGTATGACTGCAGTTGCCATGTGAATTGTAGGTGTGAATTAGCCACTACTGCTATTGAAATCAGGTGCCTTTTCAATTAATTTCTACCTCCCAGGAAAGAAAACTGAAGAATATTGTCCAAATCAGTAGGAAATATAACTTGAAAAAACATAGAGGATAGTGAGTAGGAAAACTGAAGGCTAACAGTGGATCAGGATTTCTAACCTGCTTCACAGCAGGAACTATCTGTCTTGGTCACTGTTTTATCCCAAGCACCTGGCACAAAAGCTGACATATGATGTCAGTATCAAGTGAAATTATAGACATTCTAAAATATACTGGTCTACTCAATAACTTGAAGCTACTCTGATCACCTGGGGAACTCCTCAGTTATTATATACACCCTAAAATTCATTTGTAATCAGCCTTGTTAACATTTAGCATTATGGTTTCATTTTGTTGTTTTTGGTACCAGGGATTGAACTCAGGGGTACTTAACCACTGAGCCACATCCCCAGCTCTTTCCACCTCTTTTTGTGTATTTTTATTTAGAGACAGGGTCTCCCTCAGTTGCTTAGGCCTTGCTAAGTTGCTGAACCTGGGATCCTCCTGCCTCAGTCCTCAGCCTCTTGAGCCGCTGGGATTACAGGCATGTGCCACCACACATTATGTATTTTTTAATAAATAAGTCTTGCTTTTTCAGCTATAGTGGAAGCTAGATCTAAATAAACAGTACTGGAATGCTACAGAATCAAGTGTTAGAGGAATTTTTCCAGATTCCTCAGCAATGCCCTCCATTCTGATTTGCCTCTTTTGGATAGGTGATAAGGTGAAAAAGAATCCTTCCCCTCAGACCAATCATCATTTTATTTTGAACCAGTGCTGTTGAAGATTAGGTGAACTAATGTTCTGGTAATTTAAGGACTTTTTTTTTTTAATTGTTTTTTTTTTTTTAATTTTTTATTGTTGGTTGTTCAAAACATTACAAATTTCTTGACATATCATATTCCACACTTTGATTCAAGTGGGTTATGAACTCCCACCTTCACCCCATACACAGACTGCAGAATCACATCAGTTACACATCCGTTGATTTACATATTGCCAT